GAAGACGGACAAACCGAAATCGATCGTCTTGACAGGGGAGTCCTCTCTGTGATCCGCAAGGAGGAAGTTTTCCAGCTTGAGATCCCGATGCATTACCCCGACCGTGTGGAGGTGTTTTACTACCTCGACGATTTGTCGTGTCATGCTTGCCGCCTCTTGCTCTGTATAAAACCCCTTCGCTGTGACCCTATCATAAAGCATACCCCCTCTACACAACTCCAAGATGAAATGCACGGCCTGATTATCCTCGAAGCTCTCTACCAATCTTGCGATATTCGGATGTCCTTCCAAATGCCTCAAGATCTCCTCCTCTCTCCTTATACTCCTGAAGTGATCTTTGGACCTTAGCCATTTCTTGCTGATCGTCTTGCAAGCGAATTCCTCACCGTTCCGCTTATCTACTGCAAGCCTTGTCACTCCAAACATACCCCTACCTATCTCCTTGCCGATGTCGTAAAATCTGTGCACATCTCGATAACCTACCCCCAAGACATACTTGCCTGGTCCGCTGGATTTGCCATAAGAGAAAGGTAGTTGGGATGGCAAGACGGACCTCAAAGCCTTGGCGTGCTTCCTCCGTGCCTTCTTCTCCTTAATAGCCGCTTTGGAAAATGAGATATCGTCAGATGCCACCAGTTTGCCATTCCAGCAGTTCGACAAATTGTTTCCCATCTCTTTTCTCCCTTCTTTCTCTCACACCTCGGAGAAAGAGGAACTCGCTTTCTTTGTCAAATACTTACTACGGGCCCTTATCTTCCTCCTCTTCCTCCTCCCCCCACTCTTCCTCCTCTTCCTCCTCTTCCTCTTGCTTTATCCTTTTATCGCTCTTCCTCTTGCTTTATCCTTTTATCGCTCTTCCTCCTTTTTCTCTCCCTTCTTTCGATTACTTGCCGTCCGCTCCTCCCTCCTCCTCCTCCTCCCTCCTCCTCCCCCTCCCTCCTCCTCTTTCCTGCTTTCTCTCTCCCTCACCGACCCCCAATGCAATGGTGATATCTGTCTTTCGCTGATTAAACGCCCCTCCGAGTATCTGGTACAATAATCGGCCAGATACACAACAAGAGAGAGAGAGAGATGGGGGGAGTGGGACACAAAGAGTGAGAGTGAGAGAGAGAGAGAGAGCACGCTTCTCTTCCTTCTCTTCTTTGTCCGTTAAGCCTCTGTCCTGGTCCAGATAAGGAGCAGTGAAGGCGAACTGCATGCGCTTTTCAAATTGAACTCCCGATTAAAAAAATAATCCCGACAATGACCCACGTGGACACCAAGGACCTGGATAGCATCAGGAGAGAGAGAGAGAGACAGAGAGAGAAAAACAGAAAGACAATCTCCACCTCCTCTCTCTCTCTCTCTCTCTCTCTCTCTCTCTCTCTCTCACACACACACACACACACACACAAACAAGTAGCAGAGAAGGACGGCCTTCTCAAATGGGAACAGTAGGTTCAGAGTCCTGTCCTTCTCCTACTCCCTCACTGTACCTGAGAACTGCTCAGACAGCACTTACACGGCTACATTCATGGGTGTATCTGGGCGCTTTTACGGCCAGTTTGGATGCACCTGACCGCAATTACATCCACATTGAGAAAGTCCTACTGTGAGTATGGCCTCAATTCCGCTAATGATCGTCCACGTGGAGATCAACGGAAAGCCCCAGGAGCAAATCTCCTCCTCCTCCTCCCTTCCCTCTCTTCTCCCACTCTTCCCACAAGAAGCGCAGCTGTGTGTTGTAATATTTCTGAACTCCCAACTCCACAAGGAGAGCAGCTCTCTCTGATCTTCCTACCTCCCAACTCCTCCTCCTCCTCCTCCTCCTCCTCCCCTTCTCCTCGTCGTCGTCACGCCTACGCTCAGATAGACCACGTGGACAGAGGAATCTCACAATAATAAGAGTATCACAATAATAAGAGTATATAATCTCATTAAGGACTCCTCTGGACGTATCTGACCGCAATCGCGGCTTTTCCTGCATGCATCCGACCGCAATCACGTCCTCATACGAGTCAAAAGAGTCCTACTTGTGTGATTATGCGCTGAAAAAAATAGAGGGGACACTGGAAAGCGCCCCTTCATCTCTCTTCTGGGACATCCCATTAAATTTGGAACGATACAGAGAAGATGACACGGACGGCCCCAGAGCATAATAGGCCGTATGCGACCCACCAACAGAAGAGCGAGCCAGTATTCAGGTCGGCCTCGCTCCACCACTCACCAAATGTGCAAAATGAGAACGAATCTTCCGCTAGAAATGGGACAGATACACGTCCATATTTTTTGTCTTTTGTCCATGCGGTGAGCGGTGGTAAATGGTGGAGCGGAGCCGCCCACAGTACCGCCTCCCTTCGCTACCCGTTGTCGCCAAGAGAAGGGCTAAATAATAATAATAATAATAATAATAATAATAATAATAATAATAATTAAAATAAAAAGAGAAGGGCGACCTCGCTGTTTCCCGGAAAAATCTGCCGCCGAAAAAAAAAAAAAAATCTGCAGCTCCCTCACAAATCCCAATCAGCCGCTGAATAGTTCTCACGTAAAAGCCCCCCGAAAGTTCCGCTCTCTCTCTCTCTCTCTCTCTCTCTCGCTCTTTTTTTGAATTCCCGCCTACCGACAGGACGGCAGCTGTGCTCCACTAATCGACTGACCTGACAGGTGGCTGAATGGTACACACATGTCGCTATTGATGAACAGATTCAAAATCCTGATCAGAAAAAAAAAAAAAAAAAAAAAAATCATAATCGACTGATAGACGCTCAGACACACATACAGCCTACTGTCAGACAGACTGGCAGACAGAGAGCCGCTGCCTGTCTGCCAGACTGCAACTTCACAGGCAGAGAGAGGTATGGTAGCAGCGACAGAAACCCGGTGGCACGGTCGGGAGTGGTCGCTACCGGCGGGTAGCCCGCCGCCAGCGGGACGCTGTCTCTTTGTGTTCCAATTTGAACGGATGATGTCCCAAGAGATTGCCGGTCCCAAAAAAAAAAAAAAAAAAAAAAAAAAAAGTGTTCCAATTTGAACGGATGTGTGAATGGACCATTTCTCTCCCCTAGCAGACTCTGACTAGAACCAACCAGGGGTCCCTCGGGACCTGTCTCTTATACACATCTAGATGTGTATAAGAGACAGGCCATAGGGCCTCGCTCCACTACTCGCGACATGCACAAAAG